GCCAAAGAAATAATTTAAAGGCCATAAGATAAAAGTTAAAAATAAATCTTCCGAGACATCGGAGACCAAAAGTAGCCAAGAAAAAATAGGGTGATAGACGACTCGAAAAAAACGGCTATTAAAGACTATATCTGAGTCTTTAAATATAAAGACTTTAATACAGCATTTGGCCACGTTCCTAAAGAACCCAATGCCTCTGTTCACTTTGGCGTTAAATGCAAACCTATGAAGTTTGCCATCTGCCGTAAGGTCGTTGGCTATAGAGACCCCAGTAAACCTAACAGGTTTACAGTTCCTGTTAAACCCAAGTGACATGCACCAACGTTATGAGAAGATACACTATACTGCATATACTACTTTTAAGGCATATACTAGTTAAGGTATACTTTTAAGATATAATACTTTTAAGGTATCGCGTGTCGTGCATTGTATAATGCACAGCTGTGCATGAAGATAAACTCAACTCTCAAGTTCCTGGGTGTAAGAATCACGGAGGCTAGAGATGCTGCAAGAAGCAGCATGTTGACACGTTCACGATTCAGGTTAGGATGTGAGGCCTAGGGATGCTGACTACGGGCTCACCATAGCCCGTGCTGCTTGGAACATTTTGTTCCTAGCAGCGAATCTTAACCAACGACAACAACAGGGATGCTGATATGACGATCAGTTCATTCAAGGTCATCAGTCATTTGCGAGGATGAGAAGGGTCATTACGTCCCAGATAAGTTCGTAAGGTTAGGGGGGGGGGATGTCTGAGTGTCTGCGAGAAAGAGAGTTTTAAAGTACGGAAAACAATGAGAGGACTTGAAATATCATCTTTAAACGGTACACTCTCGCTCGAATCACAGTGTTGCAAAATTTCCCTCCTAGCTTCGTGTGATGGGAGCCGGTCGGCCGAGTGGACAGCACGCTGGACTTGTGATCCTGTGGTCCTGGATTCGATCCCAGGCGCCGGCAAGAAACATTGGGCAGAGTTTCTTTCACCCTATGCCCCTGTTACCTAGCAGTAAAATAGGTACCTGGGTGTTAGTCAGCTGTCACGGGCTGCTTCCTGGGGGTGGAGGCCTGGTCGAGGACCGGGCCGCGGGGACACTAAAGCCCCGAAATCATCTCAAGATAACCTCAAGATGCTGCACTCATACACAGTGCTGCAGACCTCCATCCCATCTCCCCCAGGGAGATGCAGCATCTAACTTCGTGTGATGCTGCATCTCCAGTGTGGTGGCGGAGCTCGAAGAGTCATGGGATGTCTCCTGGGAGGAAAGTTTGGTCTCTAGTCGCACTAGCGCCTTCACGGCCCAGTTACTCAGCCTAGATTAATTGTGATACTCTCTCACCAGAGAAGTTTACAGCAGTTTCGGAAGAAATATTTAAGTCGCAGGGGAAGAAACAAAGTTTAAATACCAGTGGCACATGTTGGAACTATCACCGGTCGACTAAAGACTTCGTAATAGATGAGACCAACAAAGAACCCAAGATGGTAAGGTAGTTATGAGGACAAGGAGCTGGGATATGAAGACAAGGAGCTGGGATATGAGGATAAGGAGCTAGGATATGAAGACAAGGAGTTGGGATATGAGGACAAGGAGATGGGATATGCGTACAAGGAGCTGGGATATGAGGACAAGGAGTTGGGATATGAAGATAAAGAGCTGGGATATGAGGACAAGGAGCTGGGATATGAGAACAATGAGCTGGGATAACAGGACAAGGAGCAGGGATATTGGGGACAAGGCGCGGGGATATGAGGACAAGGAGCTGGGATACGATAACATGGAGCTGGGACATGAGGACAAGGAGCTTGGAGATGAGGACAAGGAGCTGGGATATGAAGACAAGGAGCTAGGATATTAGGACAAGGAGCAAGATATGTGGACAAGGAGCTGGGAGATGAGGACAAGGAGCTGGGAGATGAGGACAAGGAGCTGGAGATAGAGGACAAGGAGCTGGAGATTGAGGACAAGGAGCAAGGTGTCACTTGGATCACCGGGGCTCGAACGCCAACCTGCAATAAGCCAGCTCTATCAGTTTACATATTCTAAACATTAAGAGGCCGATAAATTGAAACCGGGAACGAAGCAAACATTTATTTATATTTGGAGCAGTCCTTATGTTGATCAACTTTGCAGGTGCCGCTGATGATAATAAGTTAATATGAGCCTCAGTGGACAGGTTAAGATCATTTCCATGGGCGACTTTGGTTTGCTGGGGATGAACTGTAGTAGTTTCTTGAGAGACCATATTTGCATTGTGTTTAGCTTTCCTCTAGCTTCTTGCAGTCTTCCGATGGCCATTTTAAATCATGTTAATGGTATGATATTTCTCTCTGCTTGCATTTTTAAAGATAACATTTATCAGAGATATATTTAGGGTTGACGGACATATCAGTAGGCCGTTAATTGTAATTATAAGCGTTATTGATATCAAAGTTTTATATATATACTGGTTGATGGACATCAGGGCAAAAACTCAATATAGTGCTGATGTGTATACACGTCGTCTGATCAGTCTCGTTAAGACCAGCAATGGATGGGTGACCGTGCTAAATTCGCGGCCTTGGCTACCGAGACTACCATATATACATCCTATATATATATATATATATATATATATATATATATATATATATATATATATATATATATATATATATATATATATATATATATATATATATATATATATATATATATGCCTTATAATCTCCATTTCTTGCGAGCACAGCGAGAGGAGATCGCTGAATGAACAAGCATGAACAAGAATGAGCAGGCTGTTATGAACAAGCACAGCCTGTTCATAACAAACACGCTGTATTGCAAGCATCGAGATGCTGCATCTTAAGCTGCTACAGCAATTAGAACGACCATAAATTAACAAAACTGACATGGTCGTCTGAGATGAAGCACTAGAAGACGCGAACATCATTATTCATGTCAAGTTTTTTTCCCCCCCTTTTCCTGCCGCCAACACAACTTGACTTTACCACAACACAACGTCAAGCATCTTCTCTCATATGCGATCAGGTCGCGCCTGAGACGTCGCTAAACTCCTGGAATGTATTCAGAAACTTCTCTTTGTGGTGATGTATATTTTAAACTTAAGTGACAAAAAATGATAAAAAGGCCGATTTCGCCCACAAACACTCCTCGTTAGGTGAACTGCGCCAGAGGGTGGAGGACAATATGTGTGAATATATTTTATATGAAGATATATATAAGGAACTGGGTCAAGTGCGAGACAGGAGGCTGCGACAGATGACAGGGGTTGACAGAGAGAAGACATCCAGTAATGAGTAGTGACAGATAAAAAAAGATACAGCAATGGGTAGTGAGAGGGGGGGAGAGATTATAGAATGTATACTGACAGGAGTGAGAGATACATTAACACTGACGGAGAGAGAGAATATCCAATAAGAGATAGTGACAGTGGGGAGAGATCTATTGAGAAATAGTAACAGAGAGGGAATGATCCAGTGAGAAATATTGACAGAGGGTAAAAGATCCAGTGAGAAATATTGACAGAGGGTAAATATCCAGTGAGAAATATTGACAGAGGGTAAATATCCAGTGAGAAATATTGACAGAGGGTAAAAGATCCAGTGAGAAATATTGACAGAGGAAAAGATTTAGTTGTAGTGACAGAGGTGAAAGGTCCAGTGAGACATAGGAACAGAGAGGAGAGATCCAGTGAGAGACAATACCAGAGAGGAGAGATCCAGTGAGATATAATGAAAGGGGGGGAAAGATTCAGTGACATGGAGTGACAGAAAAGTCGATTAAATGCGTAAATATATCAGAGAAGATAATAAATTCAACTGAACCAAAAAAAATCACAGAAATTTTAATTGGGAAATATGATAAAAAAAATTGACAGGAAAAGAATGGTCTCAACACTTTATAATTCGAGCCAGAGAATACAAATCCCTGATAAATTTATTTTCCTTATATAAAACCTTCATAATCAAAAAAATATTATCGCTTGTATTCTGTCCAAACGCGAAAACGTGAGACAGGGGGACTGACAGAGCGCAGACGGGCCGGAACTCACAAGACAGGGAGGAGACAGTGGAGGAAACCAGAGGGATTTATGAACGAGTCACAAGAAGGGGAAAGTGATGCTGGCGATTTATCTCTGAAGACGTAAAACAAAGGGAGATATTGCGTTAAGAACCCTTTAAACTTGCTAGAATTCTAGGTACATGCAAGAGTATTCTTCCCCGTGGAGTTTACCTTGACTGAGTCTAACTGTAAACACGAAGAGTATTGTTTAGTTTACCTTTGATGTGACTTCTTCTCCATACAGGAAAGTACAGGAAACGACGACTTCTGACTTCTTTTAGTAAGGTGAGAGCTGTTTCCTTCCTATAGCTCATGGTAAGCCGTATATCCACTATTTTTCCCTTGTAAACACGATTCGCTCATATCGGTTAACAACCAGGTTCCCAATTACTGCTGGGTGAAAAGAGGCGAAGAGTCAATCCGCTCTGGCCTGGACTCGAACCCAAAACAAATTGCTGGTGAGGCGTGAGGCGTTACCACTCCGCCATGAGGGTCTGACTTCTCATCTATACAACATTCATTCGTGTTAAGAGTTCTGACACCAGCTCACACGCTCTGAGCTTAAAATGATGATCCTGAAAGTGGTTTTGAACTCTTCATTTCATGAAATCTTATATTGTAAAACTGGAATTATGTAGAAGTAAAAACAAAAAAGAATATTGAGAGCTAAGACAGACGCATCTCAGTGTAACTGTTGGTATAAACTTTTGTTTGTGAGTTTATGTTAAATTTTCTTCATTGCTTCTGACATGTTAACATTTGTCATCTATATTATTTATCATTAAATATTCAAGAAACTGGCGTGGAAGAAAATATTTTTGTTTTTACTTGCTAAATGAAGCTTCATTGAGACCACTTACAATAGATCATTACATGCTCAGTCTAATTTTGTAAGAAGACTTCCTAATGATTCCCTTAAATGAATGTTCCCTCAGCATCTTCCTAAATTATTTCCAGGTTTATGAAAACCTTGGGTTCATGAACCTCTGGGTTTATGAAAATCTTGGGTTCATGAACCTCTGGGTTTATGAAAATCTTGGGTTCATGAACCTCTGGGTTTATGAAAATCTTGGGTTCATGAACCTCTGGGTATATGAAAACCTTGGGTTCATGAACCTCTGGGTTTATGAAAACCTTGGGTTCATGAACCTCTGGGTTTATGAAAATCTTGGGTTCATGAACCTCTGGGTTTATGAAATCTCTGAGTTTCTTCTGCGCGTGAGTAGCGGAAAAGCAAAATTAAATTCTCATTTCATTGCAAAACGTCAGTATGGAAAATAGTGTTGTTGCTGCTGTGGCGGATGTGGAGAAAAGGGACTGTGCACCACACTATTCTCCAGGGTTCAGGAAAGGTAAATTTTTCCTCGCAGGTTTAAATAAAAATTATATGACCAGGTGAATCAAATTAGACAAAAGAGACGAATGGAGACAGAATATTTCCAGACTGTCAGAAAGCCTTTGTCACAGTATCTCGTAAAACGCTGGTGTATAAAATTTGGAGAAACAGGCAAAAGCTTTATTAAAGCAGATTCAATAATTGTAAAAACATTTTCAATAGAAACATTGTAAAGGCATGTTTATATATATATATATATATATATATATATATATATATATATATATATATATATATATATATATATATATGTATATATATATATGTATATATATATATATATATATATATATATATATATATATATATATATATATATATATATATATATATATATATATATATATATATATGCAAAACACTCAAAACCCAAAGGAGATAAACTCACTAAAATACTATTAGATACCAACACACACAAACCAGAGGACACAAGAACTAAAGAACCATAAGACACAGAAAGAACAACACACACACACACACACACACACACACACACACACACACACACACACACACACACACACACACACACACACACACACACACACACACACGCAGAAACCAGAGGCGTAATAACACAGCATCTGTGATGATCGATGACCTCCCTGCATACGAGAGAGAGTAATCTGAACTGATGAGAGAGAAGCTCTGAGCCCACTCGTTCCTCACGAGTAAATGGAGCCGCTCGAGCCAAGTTTCGGGCTTGTCTCCGGCCGACGCAACGCTGTTAATTACTTAATGAGATTTGTACAACAATTAAACTCCTCCTCTTGGAGCCGCAGGAAGGATAATGAAGTTACGACGGGTCTTTGGGATTGAGAATGATTCAGTTGTTTACATGGCATAGAGTTGTCTTCAAGGAATTGAAGTTTATGTTGGGTAGTTGGATATATTTACTAAATGTATTCTATGCTGGTTATAACATATATACATAATCCTTTTTGTGTCACAGTGGGTACAGAAGCAGACGATTTCTGACTTCTGTTAGCAGGGTGAGAGCTTTCCCTTCGTATGGTGGGCCATACCTCGTTTTCCCCCTGGAACGCGACCCGACAATCGGTTAACAACCAGGTACCCGATTCTAGGTGAAAAGAGGGTTAAAGCCTTAATGTTTCTAAGCCTTAAACTCACCAAGCCTTAGAAACTCATCAAGACTTCAACAGGCGTGATCGCTCTTTTCTATTCGGTGAATAATTAGAGTACATATTATATACTCAGTGTTCATATTTATCATTAATCAATCGGGGGTTAATGGTGCTCATGAAACTTTCATCTGTGCTAACATTGCTCAAAAAGTTCCTTGCCATCAATGCTAAAATTGCTCACAAAACTGCTTCGACAGCGCTATTACTTCTCATATCAAAATGTTTCGCCGGTGCCAACATTGCTCACAAAAGTGTCAATCGGTTAATCGCTTTATCCGCTGCTGTGAAAATGTTTATCTCCGAGATAAGATTCGCTCATCTCACCGTATTCTAGTTTGCTTAAGGTTTTCTTAGACGCCGTATAAAACCTCTGCCTATCTGATTAGCAAATGATCTACGATCGCCTTGAACAGTGGTGCTTCACGTGAATTTTTCCAGCCATCAGTCTGCTGGTTTTCTCTTGTCAGTGTTTAGCAGGGATCTGATAAAACTGTTTTTTCCTCTTGCTGCAAGAATGAGAGAGAATCATCTTAAGAGTATTCGCTGAGTGGAAGGAGAACGCTTCGAATGTTTATCTTATACTGTGAGTACGTTAATGAGGTTTTTGTAATAGGTTAGAAAGATATGTGAGGGAGTGGAGTTCATTTTGGGGAGATGCATTACGTGTGGGAAGGGTGAGGAGGGGAGAGAGGTGAGGGGGGGAATGATAGGGGGCGTTGGTGGGATTCAACAAAAGTGTACTGGGTTAAAGAGGGGGAGAATGGGGAGAGAGTTTTAGGGGGGATCGGCGGGGTCCCCCCCCCCCTCACCACCCACCCCATCTGTAGACGTGCTTCCAAATTATCATGTCCACATTTCTGTCATAAAATAATCACATGTTCAAGTCCATTGCGAGACGGGGAGTAGTGAACCACTGGCTCATCCTCTCGGGGCTCAAAGCCCCTTGTAATATCCAGCATACTGTATTATTCTCCACTATTTTCAATAGCGTACTGCAAGTGCATACTCTCCTATTTCAGCATTTTGCGCTCGCCTGCCCACGGAGATTATCCACTTTAGCAAGTTTCCATTAACCATAACGGCAACACACCCATTCTTTTTACCTCGGTCCCTTCGTCGCCGCGCCTTATGCACACATTCCCCCCGCGCCCTCTTCAATATCGGCTCCTGCTGCACGCCCTTTTCCATGCCAGTCTCCCTTCCCGTTAATTCCTGTTCCGCTTTGTGTAATATCTCACCCATTTCCTCCCCACTGCCTTACCCCACGACCAAAGGGGAAGAGGGGAAAAAAATGGACATTATTAATTTTCCCCTTCTTCACCAGCAAGAGCATCATCATTCCCCTCACTGTTACTCTCCCTCTTCACCAGAATCATCATTACCCATCGCCCTTCTCTTACTGACCTCCTTGATAATCATCACATCACATCATCGCCTCATCTCAGCTATCAATGGTAAGTTCCAAACACTCAAAAGCAAACATCCAATCGACTTGAGAATGGTCCAGGACGGACCGAAACGTCGTCGTCCCTTCAACTTCTAGTGTGTGGTCTGGTCAACATCCAAAAGCATAAACAACTCCGACATGTGAATGGGCATCTTCACTTGTTCCATCCAGCTGAAGAGGGAGAGAGAGAGAGAGAGGGGGGATGGGGGATGATTTCTGGCTGGAGGGGGGAGGAGGTGTCCGCTGGGAATAGGGGAAGGGGAAGGCAAGGGAAGTGGGGAAATGGGGAGACAGTGGACTAAAAAAAGGCATTTTGCTTTGTTTTCGTGGGATGGGGAGCTTACCCCAGGCCTCAAGTGAACGACAAACTTTTAACAGTTTCCATCAGCGCGGCGACCAACTTAAACATTAGAGAGAAAATATTTTGTGATTATTCTCCAGCTGAATCAATAGGCGAACCGCGATCAGATGGATGGTTGGTGAGGCGTTGTGAGTGGTGAGGTGTGGTGGGTGATGAGGTGAGGTGGGTGGTTAGGTGTGGTGGGTGGTGAGGTGTGGTGGGTGGTGAGGTGGGTGGTGAGGTGGGTGGTTAGGTGTGGTGGGTGGTGAGGTGTGGTGGGTGGTGAGGTGGGTGGTGAGGTGTGGTGGGTGTTGAGGCGTTGTGAGTGGTGAGGTGTGGTGGGTGGTGAGGTGAGGTGGGTGGTTAGGTGTGGTGGGTGGTGAGGTGAGGTGGGTGGTGAGGTGAGGTGGGTGGTGGTGAGGTGTGGTGGGTGGTGAGGTGTGGTGGGTGGTGAGGTGTGGTGGGTGGTGAGGTGTGGTGGGTGGTGAGGTGTGGTGGGTGGTGAGGTGTGGTGGGTGGTGAGGTGTGGTGGGTGGTGAGGTGTGGTGGGTGGTGAGGTGTGGTGGGTGGTGTGGTGGGTGGTGGTGAGGTGTGGTGGGTGGTGAGGTGTGGTGGGTGGTGAGGTGTAGTGAGGTGGGTGGTGAGGTGTGGTGGGTGGTGAGGTGAGGTGGGTGGTGAGGTGAGGTGGGTGGTGAGGTGAGGTGGGTGGTGAGGTGTGGTGGGTGGTGAGGCGTTGTGAGTGGTGAGGTGTGATGGGTGGTGAGGTGTGGTGGGTGGTGAGGTGTGGTGGGTGGTGAGGTGTGGTGGGTGGTGAGGTGTGGTGGGTGGTGAGGTGGGTGGTGAGGTGAGGTGGGTGGTGGTGAGGTGTGGTGGGTGGTGTGATGGGTGGTGAGGTGTGGTGGGTGGTGAGGTGTGGTGGGTGGTGTAATATACCTGGTGGTGCAGGTGTACTACCCACTGAGAGACAGAAGTTAGTGTTCCAACATCATATTCATAAAGCAGACCTACGAGACCTGCTCCCCTTACCTTAAGTAAGGTAAGTTTCCCTTACCTCACCTTAAGTAAGGTAAGTATCCCTTACCTCATCCTAAGTAAGGTAAACTAACCAGCTAAATCAGTTATTTACGAGACCCCCCCCCCCATTCTACCTAATGGGGAGACGAATCACCTTTTACCCATTACGAAACTTGTATATAAAGGTATTTTATATAATCTGGGAACACGTATATTGCCCTCCTAACTTCCCGCCACGACAGAATGACTGATGCGTTCTACTTATGTTGGATTGTGAATCCATAGTCTAGTCAATAAGGGCGACTACGGCAATATTGATATGTTCAGGGAGTCCAGCTTCTGTTTTTTGGTAAGTTAGATTTCCATACGTACGTTTGTGTAAGTCACATTGTATGTTAATCTTGCAGGCGTCTATAGTGTGTGTTTAGAAACGGCTGTGTTTGATTGTGCATTTGCTTTTGTGAGGGAGTCTTTGTGTCTGTGCTTGTGTGAGTTCTTGTATCTGTGTTTGGGAAGGTCTATGCGCTTGAGTGGGGTCTTTGGGCTTGTGTTTGAGAGCGTCTTAGCGTCTGGGTGTGTGTGTGTGTGTGTGTGTGTGTGTGTGTGTGTGTGTGTGTGTGTGTGTGTGTGTGTGTGTGTGTGTATGCTTGAGTGCGTCCATTCTTGTGCAAGTCTTTGTGTCTGTGTTCTATGTGTTTGTGCTTGGCTGAGACTGTGTGTGTTTGTGTTGTATGTGCGTCTTTTCCTTTGTGTGTGAACCTTGTGTCTTGGCTTGAGTGAGCGATTCCTTGTGTCTATGCTTGTAAGCGTCTGTACGTCTGTGAGTGTGTCCTTAATGTGTCTCGGTGTATGCCTGCGTTCGCATGTGTC